TCGATTTTGTCATCAGCAAATTAAAACATAACTAAATTTGTATTCTTTTCAAACGGGATGTATAAAGACACACCCACGTTCATTTTGATCTATAAAGAGGTTAATTAAGTCCTAACCATCCTACTGCCTGTCGATACATTTATTTTTTGACATTGCACAAGTCATGTCTTCTTTGACTGTCCATGACGTTAAAATACTAAATCCCTGGGATTTGTTTTAGTTGATTTTAGTCTCTAATGCATGATTTTTTTATTATTAATTGTTTTTGGCTTTTATCTAGCTGTCAGTAACTGCGAGTACTCTCAAGTCGTACTTTCTTGTTTATTTGACCTGTTGATACTAATTGTAATGCTTTTTTGTCGAGCTTGCGACTTTTGTCGCAGAAAGCTCGACATAGGGATAGTGATCCGGTGGCGGCGGCGGCGTTAGCTAACTTCTTAAAAGCTTTATATTTTAGAAGCTAGAAGACCTGGATGCTTCATACTTTCTATATAGATGCCTTATGATATGAAGTTTCCGTCTGTCATATGTCCATTGTCCTTGACCTCATTTTCATGGTTCAGTGACTACTTGAAAAAAAGTCAACATTTTTTGTAATGTTTATTTCTTTCTTAATATGAGTAATAGGATAACTATATTTAGTATGTGCGTACCATGCAAGGTCCTCATGCCCGTCAGACAATTTTCATTCGACCTCAACCTCATTTCATGGATCAGTGAGCAAGGTTAAGTTTTCGTGGTCAAGTCCATATATCAGATACTTTAAGCAGTAGGTCTACTATATTTAGTATATGGAATGATTGTAAGGTGTACATGTCCAACTGGTATGTGTCATCTGACCTTGACCTCATTTTCATGGTTCAGTGGTCAAAGTTAAGTTTTTGAGTTTTGGTCTTTTTTTCTAATACTATATGCAATAGGTCAACTATATTTGGTGTATGGAAATATTTTATGATGTACATGTCAGTCTCGCAGATTTTATTTGACCTTGACCTCATTTTCACTGTTCATTTCTCAGTGTTAAGTTTTTGTGTTTCGGTCTGGGGTTTTTTCAACTAGAAGCAATAGATCAACTATATTTGTTGTATGGAAGGATTGTAAGGTGTATATGTCTGTCTGGCAGGTATCATCTGACCTTGACTTATTTCATGGCTCATTAGTCGATGTTAAGTTTTCATGGTTAAGTTTGTTTCTTAGATACTACAAGCAATAGGTCAACTATATTTAATGCATACATTGATTGTAAGGTGTACATGTCTGTCTGGCATGGTTCATTTGACCTTGACCTCGTTTTCATGGATCATTGGTCAATGTTAAGTTTTCTTGGTTATGACTGTTTCTTAGAAACTATAAGCAATAGTTCAACTATGTTCGGTTTATTGAATGATTGTAAGGTGTACATGTATTTCTCGTTTGGTTTATCTGACCTTGACCTCATTTTCTTGGATCATGTTAAGTTTATGTGTTACTTGTAGTAACGCTTTACATTTAGGACTATCAACATGAAATCAATGGTTAGTAAAGAAGGCGAGACATTTCAGCGTGTGCACTCTTGTTGTTATTTAATGTTATTCAGGGTTATATCTGGTCTATATACCAGCCTTGATAAGTGTTTGGTATTACTATAAATTTTCACTTCTTCTTACTATGAACATCAAAATTATTTATTTTGTAAAAATATTTCCTTTCTCCATTTGAACTGTACACGTATAACTAACAACAAAATTATTCATTTACCTGTGTTAAAAGTAATTGCAAATGGCTGATATTTTTGTTCAAGCATATTGTTTTTCTTAAATTGTTTAACATTTCACAGCGATATAACATGTTACTTTAATTATTCTTCCCTTAGTTTATTTATTTTGTATTTACATTGTATCATAGATCTAATTTATTTGTTCAGTGTATGTTCACTGGTGTTGATATGTCTTTTGATTGAGTTAAGCCATTTCAATTGATATTTTATAGTGTGTCTTTCTATGTTGTGATGTTACACTATTGTTTCAGATAAGAGTGAAGGTTTGGTACCATCAAAACGTTTAAACCCGCTGCAATTGTTTGCACCTGTCCTGAGTCAGGAATCTGATTTTCAGTAGTTGTCGTTTGTTGATGTGGTTCATAAGTGTTTCTCGTTTCTCGTTTTTGTCGAGCCTTCGACTTTTGTCGAAAAAGCGAGAAATAGCGATCCTACATTCCGTCGTCGGCGTCGTCGTCGTTGTCGTCGTCGGCGGCGTCCACAAATATTCACTCTGTGGTTAAAGTTTTTGAAATTTTAATAACTTTCTGAAACTAACCTGGATTTATACCAAACTTGGACAGAAGCTTGTTTATGATGATAAGAAAGTATCCAGTAGTAAATTTTAAAAAAAATTCTGGTTTTTCCGTATTTTACTTATAAACGGACTTAGTTTTTCTGCCAGGAAACATTACATTCACTCTGTGGTTAAAGTTTTTGAAATTTTAATAACTTTCTTAAACTATCCTGGATTTCTACCAAACTTGGACAGAAGCTTGTTTATGATCATAAGATATAGTATCCAGAAGTTAATTTTGTAAAAAAAAAATCTGGTTTTCCGAATTTTACTTATAAATGGACTTAGTTTTTCTGCCAGGAAACATTACATTCACTCTGTGGTTAAAGTTTTTGAAATTTTAATAACTTTCTTAAACTATCCTGGATTTCTACCAAACTTGGACAGAAGCTTGTTTATGATCATAAGATAGTATCCTGATGTAAATTTAGTAAAAAGAATTTTTTTTTTTTCCGTATTTTACTTATAAATGGACTTAGTTTTTCTGTCAGCTAGGAAACATTACATTCACTCTGTGGTGAAAGTTTTTAAAATTTTAATAACTTAAACTATCCTGGATTTGTACCAAACTTGGACAAAAGCTTGTTTATGATCAAAAGCTAGTATCTAGAAGGAAATTTTGTTAAAATTTTGTACCTGTTTTTTTCGTATTTTACTTATAAATGGACTCAGTTTTTCTTCCAGTTAACATTACATACAGCCTGCAGTTAAAGTTTTTAAAACATTTATTAGATTCATAAACTATCCTGGATTTTTACCAAACTTGGACAGAAGCTTCTTACAATCAAAAGATAGTATCGAGAGGAATATTTTTATTATTTTTTTTTCCTCATTTTTTTTTTGAGCCTTCGATTAACAGCAAAAGTAGGCGAGACACCGGGTTCCGTGGAACCCTTACGAATTTTTTATATAGATTAGACCGTTGGTTTTCCCGTTTGAATGGTTGTACACTAGTAATATTAGGGGCCCTTTATAGCTTGCTGTTCGGTGTGAGCCAAGGCTCCGTGTTGAAGACCGTACTTTGACCTATAATGGTTTACTTTTATAAATTTTGACTTGGATGGAGAGTTGTCTCATTGGCACTCATACCACATTTTCTTATATCTATTTATAACAAAAATACATGCATACAATTTCTATTTATATTATTATCGTTCAATAAAATATATATTGCATCAGTAGTGGGTCTAGAGCTGAAAGTGAGAGAAGTTGTTTGTGACTTCAGGGAACTTTATTTTGATATAGATGTGGTATAATTGCCAAGGAGACAGCTATCCAAAAGGCCTACATACTGCCTTCGGCAGCTTTAAAATTAAGTGGTAGTAAGCAATTATAGGCAACTGTACAGCCTTTAACGAGAAAAAACTCAGACTGTATAGTCAGCTATAAAAGGGCCGACATGAAAATGTTAAACAATTCAAACCAGAAAACTAATGGTCTAATTTATAACAAAGCAGTTTACGAAAAACAAATACATGTATGACAGACCTGAACCAATGACAACCACTACTGCAGGTTCCAGACTTGAGACTGGCACATAAATAATATGGCAGGTTAAAACGTGTTTGTGAGCGGACAACCCACCCTTAACATGGGACGGCGGTGTTACAGCACAACATAAGATCAAACTGTAAAATTCAGTTGCAATTTGCAACTCAAAATATCGGCAAGAGGCACTAAACAAAAGTCACAAAGCAATCTAATTAAAATATAGAACTCGGATTTCGTTATACTGCAGTATAACGAAATCCGAGTTCTATATTTTAATTAGATTGGTCACAAAGCACCGAAAAAAGAGTACTCATTGTTACTGACAGCTATAGTTTAAAGCCAATTATAACTTATAAATTAGTAATGTTTTCCCAGACTAAAGTATCAACTAGTACACATCCAACGGATTGAGTGTAAAGACGTCACAAACAGCCAGAGAAACGCATGACCTTGTGCAATGCCAAAATATAAGTAAACAGTATCTACAGGATGTAGAATCACAATTTTTCATAACTGTACATATATTGTAACATATATTCAGTTGTGTTTTATTTAAATAAAAACAATGTTAGTAATTCTATAAAACAATATTTAATGATTTAAATACTCTGTTAAATTGATAACCTGGCTTTAAGAAGTTTATACTTGTGGTAACAAAATCCTTGCCTTTTAATTTACCAGTTATATATAAATTATTTTCATTGAAATCTAAAACTAATTACAGACACGGGCATATCGAGCAAGTTGTGAAAGATATTAACACACTGTCAGAAGGGGCTAAAGGAAAATGCCTCATATGGTCTCATTGCCATTATCCACACCTTCATTCAATTTCAGCACATTGTTCATATATATCCTTTATTAAAGAATTGGGGAAATTAACTTTTGATAATAATACATTCTTGGAAGAAGATCTTGAATCTTAGGAATTAAATCTTAATAATTGAGCCGAGTGGAGCGAGGCGAAAAAAATGATGTTGGCTTTTGTGCCTAAAAATTATATTTTTTATATTATGGGAAGAGGTGGGTGGGGTCGCCAAAATTTTTTGTTGCAAGGTTTTGTTTTTTCATGCAGTATAAACATTTGTGTATTTCTAAACCCGTTTAAACGGTTATGGTTTTCTTTAATGAAAAAAAGTTTTTAAAATATAATCTGTACAGAGTTATTGTTGTTGATGAACTCTTCTGCGTTGGAGATTCGATATGGCGGCAGTTGAAAATGGCTGCCAAATTAAAAACTGTGAAAATTACATACGGAGAATTGGAAAATATTGTTGAAAGGAAGTCTGAAAATAAACCTAATAGCCATCAAAAGGACAAAATTAACGGTATTAAATCATTATAAAGCCAGTTTTTAACCGAAAAGATTGCCTTTAAAGATCACCAACGAGTTAAAGTTTCACAACATGAGACATGGGACACAGGGGTTTGTTGCATTTTGCCGGGTTTACTATCCATACGAACCCCGAAAAAATCATTCGGGGTTCGTATGGATAGTAAACCCGGCAAATTGTAACAAACCTGTGTGCATGGGAGACACAAACGTTGATTGACAAAACGAAAGTACTCAATTTTAACGAAGATCTGTCTGTTTGGCATCTGATATACAGTTTCATTAAGGTTCAAAACAAGTGATGGAAAATCGTCCTAATTTGTAAGAAATTCACCCATTAAGTGATTAGTCCCGAAGCAGGCAAAAAATATTTTTCATCTTGTAAAAAATAAAATAATAAACATGATAAAGTTCAGATTTTTTAATTGAAAAATGAAACTGACCAATTTCATAGTACTTGCAGTATTTTTTTTTCTAAGAAAGATATTTTCAACCAATTTCTTTAAGGTTCATCATAACAAATGCTGAACAGAAAAAAAAGCTTGTTTATGTAAGCGTTCTTTCATTCCGCTGTGTATTTATTCCGGGTAACTGTTTTTCACTAGAGAATATTGGATGTAAATAGTGTGAAAGCGTCAATCTTGATATCGTTGTTTTGTTTATATAAGACCGGTTTATTGTTTACATAAATAAATGGGTTAAAACTAAAATGATTTTCAAGGAACCAGTTTAATTAATCTGAGTCAATCTAGTAAATAATATGAATATTGATGATGAGGAGGATATTTTTATAACTCAAAATACTTTATCAATGATCAGGACATTGATCTTGATACAAACCAAATTTAAAGAGCAGATTTGTTCTTACATAAAGTTTCAATTACAGAAGCATCCTTTGATATTGACTTAGAAGATATGATTATATATCCAAGTTGACCGAAAAGAAAATACATAGAAAAACTTCGGCAATCCAATAAATATAAATATTACAATTACCATGATTAGTGACAATTTAAAAGCATATGATTTTATAGATTTGCATAGAAAATTTATTTAAATCTCATTTGTTAATAAGCATTATTGTGTTATCGTGTGTTCAAAATGAGTACTTATCACTTCATCAATGAAGGGATCTAAAGGACTAGTGTAATTAATCCCACCGGGTATAAAATAACTAGTGCAATCATTCCGGTAAAAAATCACTAGTGTGAACATTCCTTGGATGAAAACTCTCCACTTTTTACATAAATCAACTATGCAATTTTCAAATACACTAAAACTATTAAGCCACATTTTATATATATTTCCCCTTCAAAAAAACCTTTTTAGAACCTTATAATGACTGGTGGATGTTTTACACTGGACCCGGATAGAAAACCCTAGTGATTTTTGTTGGTGGAATAAAATCACTGTGGATTTTCTTCCTCCGGATAAAGTACACTGGCGGAATTAAACCACTGTTACATTTACACCTAAAATATAAAAATCAAAAGATTTGGTATGATTGCCAATGAGACAACTCTCCACAAGAGACCAAATGACACAGAAATTAACAACTATAGGAAGCCCATACCACATAGTCAGCTAGAAAAGGCCCAGAAATGACAAATGTAAAACAATTCAAAAGAGAAAACTAACAGCCTAATTTATGTAAAAATAATCTGCTATGCTCATGAGTAGAGACAACTCTGTACAGCTGGAAAAGTATTATTTTTTTGTGTTTCAGAATGATAACATCTTTTGTGGATTGCAATTGGTATTAGTTTTGGTTTCCAGCAGTTTTCGAGTTCTAGCCAATCAAATCACACAAATTTGTTTATGTTAAGTCAATAATGCATCAGGAGAAGGATTTCCCTGTAGAAAAGAGTTTTCATTGGTTGCTTCCCACATTCCATTCTAAAATTATTTTGATGACAAAATTGACCCCGTAGTCTGTTTACATTCGAGTTTGAAACGATGGAAGTGGTTGTAGAAGTAGTGGACGGGTACACGTTTTTATAGGAAGTAGACAATGAAAATCGAGATTTTGTAAAAGAAATATTTCTGAAGGATGAAACGGACAAAGAATTTATAGGTTTTGATGAGGATAATCTAGAAAAGGTCGAAAAAATAGCTCCTTAGGATACGTAGATAGCTGGATACATGTTGTCTCTCTTTTGATTCATGTGATACAGAAAAGAACTTTGATGTTTGAGAAAATAGAGATGAAATTTAAAGATTGCTAACATTTATAATTATTGATTAAGATTTCATAAATAAAATACAGTCGAACCTCGTTGTGTCGAACTCGGTTGTGTCGAAAACTCGGATGAGTAGAAGTAATTTCTCGGTCCCAGTAAAATTCTCGTTTGATCAATGCATAATTACCTTGATGAGTCGAACTCGGTTGATTCGAATACTTGGTTAAGTCGAGTAAATTTGATAGTCCAGTCGATGTAAAATTAATGTTAATTGACCCCAATGTCTCGAAGTTTGAAAGTAAGAATTTTCGAAAGGATAAAAATTCAAATCGGATGTATTTCTTATGCAACCTAATCATTTTCAAAAGAGATTAAAGCTGAGTTAACATATTTGTTTGTATAACAGTTAAAATGACATGTTTATGGTGACCGGTAATTAACACCTTTGTTGATTGTTCAAGCGGAATGTTAGTGTGTTGAACATTTTTCACAAGAGATAAAAACGAAACGAATTTAAATGACCCAAGCTGAGATTAAATGAATCGTTAGATTTAAAACTCATTATTTACAATAAATAAAAGGATTAATACAATTATGATAAATTCATGATAATTTAATGTAAAGCAGACGACCTCATTAGAGACCGTTCAGAACTTATTTCATTCCGCAAGTGATTTCATAATTTATAGTGACTGACCTTTGTAAATAATTGTGTAGACTATTGATTTTATTTGTGCATGATTTGTATCTGTACTTGTGTGTTTAATTATTACGAAGGACCAAACATGGAGATTGAATACACAATCATAAAGTGTCATATCGAAAAAAAAGTCACACTGTTCATTGTATCTAGTTTACACAAATCTTATACCGTATTTCATACATTCCAAATTTATGACACACTCGGCCTCGGATGAGTCGAACCTCGGATGAGTCGAATACTTTGGTCCGGTCCCTTCGACTTCAACACAACGAAGTTCGACTGTAGTTGAAAAAACAAACAGTTACACACTAGACTTTTTTTTAATCAGATCAAGGACAACAATATTGAAAGTAAAATAACTAACTCCATGGAAATGTTAATGTCTGTGTCATTTGGTCTCTTGTAGAGAGTTGTCTCATTGGCAATCATACCACATCTTCTTATTTTTATATCCATGGAAAATTCACACTTGTAGTTTAAATTATTTGACGATACAGGTTGACATGCAGCAGTTCGTCATGAAATAATAAAAATATGTTATATTGTCTTTTTTGTGCTAATTAAATGAGATTTACAAATATTTTTAATAATCATATGAATAAAAACGCAACTTTTCAACTTTCATTGGATATATCAAAATAACTTCATAATCGTCCGTCACTTATTTTATACTGTGAAATTTTGCATTCAATTCTGCAAAACAAACTCATTTAATGTTATTTTCTAAAATGTTCAGAAATCATAGAAATTAACAAAACAAATAACATGGTGTAAAACTGATAAATTTCTCGGCACAATTGGATGCAGAGTGACCCGTCTAATTAGCATCATGGCACTGCAGTGAACTGATTACTGTAAATTCAGAAAATATTGCGTGCATTTATTATTGCGATTTTTCAAGAATGGACAAAAATGCGAGTTTTATTATTTCGATTTCGAAAAAAAGTGCATACAGGTCTATATTTCAGTATCAGAATGCGAGTTCTTATTATTGCGATACTTACCCAGTCGCATTATTCGCATTAATAAAAACCTCGCAATAATTTCTGAATTTACAGTATTTATTTACAAAAATGTATAGCTGGCAGTACTAGGGTTAACTAGTTTATGTAAAACAATATGCAGATGCATAGAAAAATGTCACGATACAACTTTTTCAACCTCCACATTGAAAAAAACAGTTAACTCCAAACTCAAACATGTCAAAGGAGGTAATGGTATTATGTTATCTTCAAAAAATAATAAGATACATGTGCAATGTTGTGATTAGAATAAATCTACCTGTTGTTTAATTGCTTTTTAGAATATAATGTTTCTTAAAGGTTAAATGGCATCACTACCTGTTTAAATGTAAACAAACATCAATATTCTGTTATTACATGTATTATATGATTGTTATGAATTTGTTAGAATGGATTTTCTAACAGTTAATGATGAGCAAGAAAGCATTTACTGTAAATTCAGAAATTATTGCGAGGTTTTTATTATTGCGAATAATATGACTGAATGAGTATCGCAAATAATAAGAAGTCGCATTCTGATATCGGATATATATATATCTTAATGCAGATTTTCCTGAAATCGCAATAATTAATCTTGCATTATGGCCATCCTTCAAAAATCGCAATGATAAACATGATAAATGCACGCAATAATTTCTGATTTACATAAGCCATTATAACAAGATGTGATGCATGTCTAAAAAAGGGAGATACATGGAACTTGACACAAATATTTTGAGACAGGTGTTTTTCTGGAAAATTTGAAGGCAGTCTCCTTAACCTATAAATATAATTAATTGGAATTATGCTATTGTGTTTTCAGAGAAAAAAAGAAAAACAAAGAGACCAGAAATAGGAATATATCGTCCACCAAGTCTTTCAAAGCAGAAAAATCAAGTAGAGGATGTAGACAGCTGCCAACAACAGCAACATGAGCAAGGGGAAAACTGGGAGGAAGAAGAACACAGTTCTGCCACAAACAGTAAAGATAACAGTATTGAAAGAGAGGTCTAATCAAAGTTTTTCAGAATTATTTAATTGCAGTGTGCACATATATTATTTAAACATTGATATCATTAAATATACTACTGTAAATTCAGAAACTAGGCCACACTTAAAAATATTTTAGTTTGCCCAAACCCTACCCAAAGATAAAGACAGTGGGTAGGTAGGTAGGCATTTTCTTTTTTTTTTTCGGCAAAGAGAAATTGAAGTGTCAGGTGTTTTTTAGTCTTCACGCCTATCTGTTTAAAATAAAACTTTTTCACATCAGGATAATAAAAGATTTTGAGTAGGCAGCTATTTTCTGGGTAGGTAGGGTTAGGGCAAACAAACATATTCTTTTTTATGGCCCTATTGTGATGTTTTTATTAACATGATTAATGCAAAAAATACGATAGTTACGGGTTTCCAATAATAAGAGCTTGTATTCATAATTTCAGTAGTGATTTTCCTTCACAAAATTTTCGCAACCCTTTGATTAAATCACAAATTTTACCAGTAATCAGTGATTCACAGTAATAAATGGATGCATTAATTTCTGAATTTACAGTATAAGGAAGGTGTTAAAAGATCTATGCATGTACAAAAATGTATCTATGAAACTGAAACCCATAAGGCCATGATAAAAGATTTGAAATGAGAGAAAGTTTATTCATGTTTGGGTTGGTAATTCTGTACAGTAAACATGAAATATTTTTTTATTGCATTCCTCACATTTTCAGCAGTCATACAAATTAAATTTATTACTATACTATACTGCAATAAAATATCATTTAAAAGATTCCTGAAAACTGTTTTCTGAATTCTGATCGTATATATATATATATATATCATTCTTTGAAATTATTTCAACAGTAGCAAAATTATTTATTTTTATATTCTTTAGATTAATGATGCTACCTCTGGTATTAAAGATATCAATGTGAATGAAAAACATGATTTATCTAAATCAAGAAGAAAAAGACCAGAAATCCAGAGATATGTACCTAAAGGGAAGATACTGGAAATGCAACAGAATAAAAATGAAGATACAGAATCATCGGGCGATGTAACACCCTTGTTTATTGATGAAGGATCTGATACAAACGATAAAAAATTTGACTTAAAATCGGATGATATCAAGAACATTAAAGTAACTGTTTCAAAGGATGGCGATTCCAAACAAGTATCTAGATCAAGATCAAATACGGGAGAGGCACAGAGCGTAGAAGACATGCCATCAACCTCAAGGTCAAAATCTGATGCACAAGGTACAGAAAAGTATCATAGGCAATCTTTTCAAAAAGGACAGGGTGATAATGGCGATTTTAATGGCAGTAAAAGTGATACCAGAAACCAAAAGTACAATGTTAAGAATGAAGGTTTCTCTACAAGTCCAAAACCTCAAAGAACTGATAGAAGACGAGGCAAATTTCAGCCCTCTAGAAATAGTAACCAGCGTGTACCTGATGAAGATTTATCTGATGACGGGAATGTCATACAGACAATGGTGTTTGAGAGACGTGACGATAATCAATCAGATTCAAAATTAACCGTGGAAAATTTATCTCAGAAGCCACCAAAAGGTTATGGAAAGCCAGGCTCAAAGAGATACTCAACAAACATGAGACGTCCTAGAGCAGGAAGTTTTAGTAGTGATGTCAGTACTGCCAGTGATCTCAGTATTGATGAAGAAACAACAGAAAGAATCCTCTCCTGGGATCGAGAAGTCGAAATGGAAATGGCAAAGCAAGTTCACAATGAAACTCAGAAATTAAAAGAGTATTTAGAGAAACAAGAAGGTAACGTGGATTGGGATAAGGAAAACAAGCACATGAACTGGAGTGAAATGGTAGCTGATATGCCCATAGATGATATACAAGATATTCCTCCTGACTGGGAACACATCAAACCAGCAGGATCTCATGAACTGCTGGATAAAATATCTAGTAGGAAAGAAAATGAAGACTTTGGACAGAACAATTATCAAAATGCTGGTACATTCCCTAGAAGGAATAAGAGGAATTCTGGTGATCGATATAAAGGAAGCTCAATGGAAGGCAGAAACGAGAACTGGAATGCTGGCTCATGGGACAGACGTTGGAACCACGATAATAAAAATAGGCAAGAAAATGAAGATTATTACAGGGGTTATGGCAGAAGGGAAAGGAGACTAAGTAATGGTTCAAATGGCCACAGGAGACGGAGACAGTCAAGGGAATCTAATGGAATGAGAAGTAGGGATTCTAGTGTATCAAGTGTACACAGTGTTAGAAGTAACCATGGAGATGATGATATGTATGGATCTTATAGAAGACATAAAAGGCAAAATAGTAATTCTAGCTTACGTGGAGGTTCAAGTCGAGAAAGACTAAATGAGACAGAAAGTTTGAATATCAAAGTGACGATAGGAAGTGACAGGCGACAAGTTGTTGTTCCTGAAGGTGATGGCAAGCAGCAAGGCAAAAATGTTGGTAGAGGAAGAGGTAGAGGCAGGCGTCAGCATGGCTTGGACATGAGTCAAGGTCAGAGGGTTGGAAGCAGAGGGCCAAGTGAAGAACCAGAAAGCATAGATATGCATAGGAAAGACCAACCAAACAGAGGAGGACACAATAAAGAGGAATCTTCTCGCGGAAGGAATGTTGGGAGAGGTAGAGGTGGTCGTAGTCGAAGCAAAGAATCTGTAGATTGGAATAAAGATCGTCATGGTAACAAGGAACCTGGAGATTGGAATAGAGATCGTCATGGTAACAAGGAAACTGGAGATTGGAATAGAGATCGTCATGGTAACAAGGAAGCTGGAGATTGGGGAAGAGACAGGTATCATGGTGACAGAAGAAATGATTACCATAGTAACAGGGAATCAAATGGTAGAAGAGGTGATTATCATGGGAACAGAGATTTTGGTAGTAGGCAAGGTGGTAGAAGTCGCAACAACAGTGAAAGGGAAAAAGATAACAAAAGTCCTCAGGTTGAAAAGACTTCTCCTCAAACTCACAGTGGGGGCTTAATTAAATTACCCTCAAATGTTCACACAACGGAAGAGCACAAGAAGGATGAAAAGTCTTCCCATGTAGAAAAGGAGAAAGAAACACCACAAAAGTCCCACAACAGAGATTCAGTACGTGACCCAAGGCCAAGTGCAGGACAGAAGCAATTGTTTGATCCAAAAAACCCTAACAAGCCTATAGTTATACAAGGTTCATCAAATTTGAAGTTCCAAGAACCAGGTTCATCAAATTTGAAGTTCCAAGACCCAGGTTCATCAAATCTGAAGTTCCAAGACCCAGCTGGTATGGAATCTCCTTCACCCCCAGCCTATCCACAGAATCCACCCTTTCAGGGATATGGCCCTCAGTATTATGGACCTCAGTTTCCAGAACAAGGAATGTATGGGCCACCTGGTCCACCTATGCCACCTCAGATGATATCACCACATGGTTACTTCTATGGCTATCCTCCACCACAATACTATGAAATGATTAGAGGGTAAGAATAAAATAATAAACTTTTAACATGTTTAATACATGAATATTAATCAATATTACGGCAACTGGTCAATTCTAATTTTATTTTATGAGTAGTGATTTAAAAAAATGTCAAGGGTTGAAACTAGTTGTGGAGCTCCTATTCCTGAGGACACTAGTGACACAATAATTGTCTCAAAGAATCCCCATCCGCTTCAAATAGGAGAAATGCTTAATATTAGAAAATAGAATTATCTTATTTTGGATCAGTCCAATGCAGCTTTTTCTGTATTTACCCATCGTCAGCAATTGTATAGATAATTGCTTAGATTGTCATTGGTATGACTCATGCCAATTTTACTGTATTATTAGGTTGATTTAAATCTAAAACTTAAAAAAAAAGCAATTATGAACACATTTCTCATGTCATTGTTATGTAAGTAATATTACAAAATATGATTGAATATTGCAGAAAACAAAGAGAAATTATGTTTGATAAGATGTTGAATGAATGTTTGGGACTGGATAACCAGCTTGGTAACTTAGTAGCCAGAAGATTAAATGGTGAAAGCTTGTCATTACTGGCTAATCAAAGGTAAGTTTTTACTTGCTTGGAAACTTGAGACGCCAGAAGATTGGGGGAAGTCTGTTGTCTATACTTGACCTTTAACATGTCAGTAAAAACTTGGGTTTTAGTATTTAAATCAGTTAAAGTGTTTTCAAATAAGAACCATTTTTATACGCCCGTTTACAGGACGCATTATGGTATACCGTTGTCCGTCTGTCTGTCTGTCTGTCGGTCCGTCGTCAACATGTCGGAGATTTACTCAAAAACGCTTTAACCAATTTGCATAAAACTTTGGTGAATTGTTTATATCTATATCTATCTAGCTCCCTCTCGTTTTTTATAAATTTTAGATTTTACGTTTCCGAGTTGTTGGGTTTTATTCATTAAAAAAAGGTGATTTTCCAGTTTTCGGACAATAACTCAAGAATGCTTTCACCAACTTGCAAGAAATTGTGGTGAATTGTTTATAGCTATTGACATGAGCTCCCTTTCGATTTTTATATATTTTAGATTTTACATTTCCAAGTTACAGGGTTTTATTCATAAAAAAGGGGGATTTTCCAGTTTTCGGACAAAAAATAAAAAATGCTTTCAGCAGTTCTTATGAAACTTTGGTGAATTGTTTATATCTATTGATGTAAGCTCCCTTTAGAATTTTATAAACTTTTCGTTTACCATTTCTGAGTTATGGGGTTTTATTCATTAAAAAAAGGGGGGATTTTCCAGTTTTCGGACAATAACTCAAAAATGCTGTCAGCAATTCTCATGAAACTTTGGTGAATTGTTTATATCTATTGATGTAAGCTCCCTTTACATTTTCATAAATTTCTAATATGACATTGAGAATTAATTGAACTTTATTTGTTTATAGTCTGACAACAGATTTACTAAATATTGTGCAACAGCACAGTGTATTGCACAACAGCAAGAAATCTTTAATTGAATATAAATTCAATTCATATAACCAATTTCAAGTTCTTTGACTACATTTATTCAGAAACCTATAATATGTCAAATATTTAATTACAATCCAAATTCAGACCTGTATCAAGCTTGAATATTGTGTCCATTTTTGCCCCAACTGTTCAGGGTTGGATCTCTGCGGGCGTATCCAGCTGCGCTCAGCGAAGCAGTTTATTAATATTTTGAATACATCATAATTGTTTTTTTCATTTTAAGAGCAACTTTTTGAAAATCAAGTATGCACAAATTTGTTATCCACCTTTAACAAAGAAATCGTGCATTGAAGAATTTTTATGCCCCCACCGTAGCGGTGGGGGCATTAAGTTTTACCCTTGTCCGTCTGTACGTACGTATGTACGTCCGTCCGTACGTCCCAAAATTGGTTTCCGTTCTCTAACTTGAGTTTGCCTCAACCAAATATTATGAAACTGATACACAATGCTTATTACCACAAAACACAGATCAAGTTTGAATTTTGGTGGTGTCACTTTAACCGTTCTAGAGTTATGCCCCTTTATAAATGGAAAAATTGCAAAATTTTTAGTTTCCGTCCTCTAACTTATTTCTTAAAATGATAAATAATCTTATGTAATATAAATAACGCAAAGATATTAACATAAAAAACAGCAAACCAACATCTTAAAACAAAAACGGGTACCGGTACATAGAGGTCACCATGAGGTGAAGACATACTTTTAAATCCTCATGATGGGCCCGAGAAATCATGTTGTAAATCAATTCAGTAAAGAGTACCAGAGATGTTGATAATATGACTACATTTTAGATATAAACCCTGAAGGTCGGTTGTTCTCTCCAGGCACTCTGGCTTCTACCACCAATAAAAGCTGGCTGCCACAATAAAGCCAAAAGTGCTGAAAGTGGCTTTAAACACCAACAATCAATCAATTGGATTTAAACCTAGAAAAAATACCGACCACTTTCATGGATGCCTGACTGGAAGAAGCAATTAATACAAGAAGCTTATAACAAGGGATTGAAAATAACCATACGGTGACCTATAGTTGTTAACGTTTATGTCATTTGGTCACTGGTGAAGAGTTGTCACATTGGCAATCAAACCACATCTTCTTATTTTTATAAAACATTGAAAACAACGCTTATATCCTATTTTTATTTTTAGACAAGAACTGACGAAACGTTATGAACATTTGATCCTGATAGACATAGACCTCTCTACAAGGCATAATGTAGATCAGCTTCTGTGGAAAGCTGTATTTTACCAAGTAATTGAAGTTTTCAGAAAACACATGAGTGAAGAAGATGATTCTAAGACCAGACTTACTCAAATACTAGATGAGGTAAGGTTCAGGTTAGATGAACATAAATATTAGATGAGGTAAGCTTTGGTCATCCTAACTCAAATACAAGTTAAAGTAAGTTAAGGTTTATGTCAGCCTAACTAAAATATTATACATGTATTAGGTAAGCTATGGTAATCATAACTCAAATATAAGATCAAATGATGAGGTAAGGTTTAGGTCAGTCTAGCTTAAATATTAGATAAGGTAAGGTACGGTCAGCTTAACCCAAATATTAGATGAGGTATGGTACGGTCAGCCTATACCAAATATTAGAAATGACTGCAATTTTATACATCCTGCACAGCCAAACAGATGCCTGACTTTGGCAAGGGCTTTACTGCTGGTCGGAAGAATACCAAGGCACAGCCATATTTCTATACCCTAGTCAATCCTTTGGGCTATATTTGTTAGATCTAGTTTCTATAATCTGTTGCATGATTACAATGACTCCTAACTTGGATAGTTTAACCTTGATATTGTAGACTTTTAGCATAGAATTCAAATCACATTCAGTTACCAAGGTGTGACTTTTCTGCTTGACAACTTCTGATTTGTGCTTCGATTTTCATGTCTTTTTTGGAGATTTTCTTGATAGGGGATTTCCCATATTAGAAAAGAAAGTGTATGGAGTGGATGCACATGAGATAAGGGCAACTCAACAACACCAAAAACATATTTTGTTCATTTTTACAGTCCTCATTAGTTGAAAAGTGTATATACATTTATGTCACTATACTGTTACTTTATTTTGCAGGGAACAGCATTTTATGAAGGTTTAATTCAGAAATTGCAGCAAAACTACCGATTCAAGTTGGATGACTTCTTAGACACTCACAATCTACCTCCTGAAAATATTCATCGTTTTGTAAAGCTTGCCTTGCTTAGTAGTCAGAGGAATATGATCTGTCTGGGTGATATAGCTCGATACAGAGAACAGATGAACGATTCAGGAAAAGTCAATTATGGAAGGGCTAGAAAGTAAGAAGATATAAATAAAAAAAAGATTCTGGTTTAACGACAATGAGACAGCTACCCAACAACACAAATAACAAAGAAATCTAGAGTGTAACATACTTTATGTTATATGTTTAATTTTTATTAACTACAGCGCTTAAAGATTTAGCATTTCACTGAACATGAACACATAATAAAGTTTACACTAATAAACAAAAAATTCAAAACTGAAACTTAAAGTTTGTGTGATGAGATTGATCACATTTTGAATTAACTGACTGAACTAAATACAGGTAGAATCTAGATAGCATATTATATTGTCGTAAAAAGACTAAATTGTAATTTCTGATTTCAGTTGGTACACTAAAGCCCAGTTGTTGGCACCAAAGAATGGTAGACCATACAATCAACTGGCCATATTGGCCCTGTATACAGTAAGTGAACGTTGATAGATTGTTTATTATTATGGAGACACATAATGTATGTTTTGACAAAACCAAGGTCAGTTAGTATTTTAATAAGTTTCTTGTGTTCCTTGTATAAAGAAAATATTGTTTATTCACAAAATGCAGGAATTGTGGGTTTTTGGTGTTAATTATAACTTTTTAATCTCAAACATGACTATTTTGGAGGCTTGTAAACAAATTTTAGTCTTAAACAGTCATTTTCATCTTAACAACTTCTGAAAAGTCTGAACAATAAATTATTAAGTCATGTTAAGTTCTTCGATCAATTTTCTGACTTATTTACTGCAGTAAATTCGGTACTGTTCAGACAATTCACTTGCAGTCATTTCAGTATAGTTCAATAGATTTTCAGACAATTTTGTACAGTGTATGTTATTGATGTGTACAGGTAAATTACAACTACTGAACAGCCTGAACATAGACTGAACAGCCTGAACATAGACTGAACAAATCTAAATTAACTGCAAGCGAATTATCTGACCAGTACTGAATTTAATGCAGTGGACAAGTCTAAAAATTGAATGAAAGACTGAATATGACAAAAAAATTGTTCAGTCTTTTCAGAACTGTTTAGATCAAAATGGCTGTCTCAGTTTGGTTCATCTAAATTTTAAAGAGATATTCTTTCTATTAGGATATTTGTATAAAGAGTAATGTACAAATGTATATCCACTGTTTGACTGTATCAAATTTCAAAATTGTGTTTTTAGAGAAGAAAGTTGGATGCTGTTTACTATTACATGAGAAGTTTAGCAGCTAGTAATCCATTCTTAACAGCTAGAGAAAGCCTGATGTCTTTGTTTGATGAAGCAAGGAAGAAGGTAAAGATTTAATGGCTTCCATTTGTTAATTATATAATTATAATCAGAAAATGTGTAGGTGTTATAAAGATGACCAGCATACCAAATAAACATTATAAATATATTATGCTTCAGGTGAATAACTTGTTTTGGTTGTTACCCAAATTACTTGACTAGTTATTAGGGCCATGCCCAAATTGAGATGAATCCTACAATTATTATGGTGTCCATTTATCAGAATTTGCATTAGATTTGTATCTGATTACCAGTCACAGTTCTAGTTTGTTGATACTTCTTAAGATTCTTCACAATTACTAGAAGGTTCAGAAGTCAAAGATGATATGCTTTCATTTTATTTGCATGCCTTTTATTTATTTATTAGTATTTGTATAAAGCTGCATGCTTTAATATGATAGTTAGTTAAGAGCTCATCAGAGCTCATATTTTCTTCATTATTGTGTACATACATGTATATGCTGACTTTAAATAAAATTTACTCACTTATTTACTTAGTATATAAAGATTGATCAGATTGTGGAAAGTATTTAATTCAGATTAGGAAGAAAGGGCAAGTGAAAGTTGGAGGAAAGAACTTTTTTTAAGTATACGTTTATCATCTTTTTTTAAAGGCTGAAGCAGCTGAGAAGAAAAGATCAGATGAAAAGGAGAAACATAAGAATCCAAAACAACAACAACAACAACATCATAAACATGGGGAAAGAATAGAAATCTGGATAGGTTCTGATGGGACAAGCTCTGAGGACCGTGGGCAGGAGGGTGATGGAGAGGATCTGGAGAAAATGGATGCTGTAGAGGTATTGTTAGCTTATATTTTAGTCTTTGAATAATATTGCTGTAAATTCAGAAATTTTTGCATGCATTTATTATTGCTGTTTAACGATTGAGATTTCAGGAAATGTTGCATGCATTATTGCCATATAATGCTCAAAATTTAAAATTGGAGTTCTTGTTTTCACTTAACCTACCCAATTCCAATTTTTGTAATAACAAGAACATTGCAAAAGTTTCATTCTTACCATTCTATCACCCTAACTAAAGGAACGCAGCTCAAGTGATAATAAAATATCATATTGATGATTTTCCCTTTACCAAATGAATTCAACTAAGAAATGAAGTAGGATGATTATTGATTTCTCACTTAGAATTAAAGCAGATTAATATTTTGATTGTTTATACAGTAATGAGGATCTCTTCCTCATATATTAACCAGTTACTGAGAACTTCATTCCAAAAGAATATAAATGTAGGTAAATTTAGTATAACATATTGCAAATATTTTGCAGAGGAAAAAATTAGTAAGTATGTATTTGGAACATGAAAGAATTTTGTTTTTATTTGTACTGTTATTTTCAAGAGTATTTAAAAGTTGTGTTTGTCATTTTATATGATGTTGATTTTTTTTGACAATTTTTGATAGTTTTAAAATTGTATACCAATTTTCAGTTTGACTATATGAGTTTAAGTGTTTACAAATTTGCAAAGTACAGTAAGTTTTTGTTAAATGGAAATGGTACATGGTATCAGTACTAACTTTGTATATTATCTTTTGTTTAGTTTTCGAAAATTAGCCAATCAAATCAATGAATAGGTATCAATCAATGCATGTAGAACATGTTTGACTGGCCAGTTTTGTATTTACAAAAGTTTACTTAAGTTATAATGGTTCATTTTATAGATAAGTAAACTTTTACGTTATAAAAATAAGATGTGGTATGATTGCCATTGAGACAACTCTCCACCAGAGACTTATAAAAGACTACTTCATGTACTTAATAAGAAAATCTCAAGTTGAAAAAAAAACAACTTTTGACCAGAGGTCAATTGGCATAAATGACATCATTGAACGGTTGATTCTTACTGTGATGTAATAAAATAAGCATTGTGAAAAAGGAAATATTCAGGAAATGAACGAGTTTAAAAGTAGTTTACACTCCAAAAAGTTACATGTGAAGACATTTGAATGAATAAGCTGTAAAAACTATAGAAAAAATAAACATTTCTATTAAAACTTTGTTTGTATCTGTTTAGTGAAGAGGTATAATTGAAGATACACACTGAATAACATTTAATTTACAATGACACTTTATATTATAACAGTTTATTTAATTATTACCTTTCTTAATATAAAATTTGATTTCCTTTAGAATATGTTGTAAAATGAAATACATTGTATAGTCCAGGTGGTCTTGCCTAAATATTTATCTTTGATAGGCGAATATCTATTTTCGCTATTGCTGATGTAGAAGAGGAGATGTAGGATAAATGTTAATGCTATTTTGTACATTAACATAAGCAACACTAACTATAATAGAAATACAAAGTTTAACTCATGTAGATGTAACTTTTTTGTTTCAATTTTCATCACCTGATGGATTCTTTTTATTACAATGTTTATTTTTTCTTTTAGTTGAACAAAAGATTCGTGTTGAGTTTCCTAAATATCCATGGTAAATTGTTTACCAAAATTGGGTAAGTTATTGATAATTACCAATGGTATTGTTTGGGTGAATGCTAAACATCTAGCAGGTAACATTTCAATCCTATCCAAGATGAGAAATAATGTGGATTTATTTCTATTTGTGAGATACCATTTTTTGTGGGTATAGGCCTACTGTAGGTTAACCGTAAATATAAATGTTCAACGAAGTACAAATATTCTAAAGACTTGTATGCAGACTTTGGAAAAACAGCAGAACAAAATACAATTTTTTCCTCAATCTTGAAAGTGCAGAATTTGATTTAATTTTTTCAATATTCAGTAGCAGATATGTTTTTTTCTAATTGCAAAAGATTTCATAAAAAATGCAGGGAGTCACCAATTTATCAAATAAATATCTTAATTTGAAAGACTACCTGACATTGAAATTAATGAAATAGATTACAATTTTAGGAGAGAAAGTTTCCCTGAATGTTGTGCCCAGATGTTGAAGGAGTTCAGAGCCTTACTGAAGTACAATGCTATAGGACCATCACGGTTGTTACAGCTGATGGCTATCAATATGTTTGCTATTGACAACACAGCTCTTAAAGGTAAGAAATTATAACTGTTTTCTAACTTTTCATGTTAAACATATAGATACTCTCAATTTTGAATGTCAATTATTATTTGAAGAAATTGTTTCATTGTTTGTTTTAAAATTCTGGTTTAAGACTCCAACGCTGTCATATTCTTTATGTGCCGGTCACAGGCCATAAACCTGTAATTCAGTGATTGATGTTGGTTGCTGTCCGTCATATTTGTTTTTCTTTTGTTGTTGAAGTATAAATCCAGCAGTTGGATTTCTCTGTTGAATTGCTTTAACATTTTGTCATGTGTGGGCCTTTTATAGCTTACTATATAATATGGGTTTCGCTCATTGTTGAAGGCCATAATTATGTTGGTCTGTAGTTGTTCATATTTTTGTCGTTTGGTCATTATGGACAGTTGTCACATTTTCAATCGTATCACATCTTATCATTTGAATAATTATATGAAAATAAAGAGATTTGGTAAAATGAAAGTGAAAATCTACACACATACCTGGCATAGGTTACTGAACAACATAAAATAGTCGTAATACTAATCTTTTATTTTTATTACAGATACTGCCCTCCAGTCAGGGTTTAGGTCCGAATTACAGGAGCAAGCTGTAGAACTTGGACTGTATATGTTTGGTATTTTGGTGGAGAGATGTTCAGAACAACTCAGAATCCATCTTAAGTCATCAGACTATCCTACCAAATTATGTAATGCAGAATTAGAGGAACTGATTCCTGGGGTCAAGATCTGGACTGACTGGATGATTTGTAACTCTCAATACTGGAATCCTCCCCCTGCTACTCTGGATCCAAGTCTAGGGTAAGTACATACCCTCCATTGGGGTCAAGATCTGGACTGACTGGATGATTTGTAACTCTCAGTACTGGGATCCTCCCCCTGCTACTCTGGATCCTAGTCTAGGGTAAGTACATACCCTCCATTGGGGTCAAGATCTGGACTGACTGGATGATTTGTAACTCCCAATACTGGAATCATTCCCCTGCTACTCTGGATCCAAGTCTAGGGTAAGTACATACCCTCCATTTGGGTCAAGATCTGGACTGGCTGGATGATTTGTAACTCCCAATACTGGAATCCTTCCCCTGCTACTCTGGATCCAAGTCTAGGGTAAGTACATACCCTCCATTGGGGTCAAGATCTGGACTGGCTGGATGATTTGTAACTCCCAATACTGGAATCCTCCCCCTGCTACTCTGGATCCAAGTCTAGGGTAAGTACATACCCTCATTGGGGTCAAGATCTGGACTGGCTGGATGATTTGTAACTCTCAATAATGGAATCCTCCCCCTGCTAGATAAAATAATAGGTAGGGAGGTCTATGGTTTGTTTATCATCTATAATAATGATACTTTGTTTTAATGTTCTGTTTTAGAACATAAGCAAATGTATCCAATGCTATGGTTGGTTAATGGTCTGTTTCAGTGTACAAGTAGTTGTATTGAGTGCTATGGTTGGTTTCTGTACTATCATGCTTATAGGTTGTTTAAATGATCTGTTTCAGTGATATGGAATAGAAGGGATACATCTTATTTAATTTTGACACAAAAATCCCTACTTGCAGTTGACAAAGCCAAAAGCAAAGTTAGAGCACTGTTCTTTATCTTAAAGTCTCATTGAGGCCTTCAGCAAGGAGGAAAGAGTTCACAGCTTACTGCAAGTTCTTAATTTAGTTTTGCAGGATGTTGTTCACACTACAAGTGTGCATCAGAGAACACTTATTCAGGGTTCAGTTAATAAATTTCAAACTATTATATCTGCTTTATGTAACATACTGTTAGTATTATATTATGATGTTCTGTTTCAGTGTACAAATAGATGTCTGGAGTGCTACTGCTGGGTTATGTAATATTTTGAAGGATATTGATATTAATCATGTAAAACTATACACAGAAAAGAAGGAAGGTGAGATAAATATATACTTTGTAGTTAGATATAAATAATAAAACCATGGAACAGGTTCACAAAAATACCAAGTAAAACTGCAAGTACTATTTATTTTTCATCAGCAAAGCTCAGTGCCCCTTATGTACTACCCTTGGCATACACACCACAGACAGTTCCTTAATACTTAGTGACACACAGCCTTGTTTATAGTATATCATTACATAAGAAACACCTTCATATGAAAATAAGAAGATGTGGTAATATTGCCAACGAGACAGCTCTCCATCAGAGACTAAATGACATAGAAGTTAACAGCTATAGATCACTGTACAGCCTTAAACAATGAGCAATACCCATACCGCATAGTCAGCTATAAAAGGCCCCAAAATGACAAATGTAAAACAATTCAGTACACTTGTATAATTTCATGGTAGTTACTTTTATTTGAGAGAAAGAACCTTGTGTGCAAAAACTGATGGGTCAATGATAACTATACATAGATTCCTACCATGTTCGTTTATAGTATTTTGTTTTAAAAGCTGTGAGTTATGAATTTACAGTGTTAATCAGAGATAGTACTTCTATAAAATAGACGGAATATAAGTCCAAGAAGGCATGACCATAAAAAGCATAAACTAATATTGTGTAACTTTACATGAACAAATTGAGGTTTGCGGTATACGTCAAGGGACAGCAACCCAACAACAGAAAAGTCTTTTGTTATGTATTTATGTTTTTGCAAACTACATGTACAAGGGTTACATATTATAATCAAAATCGAAATGCTATATGTATTTATATTTTTAGGATGTGAACCAGTGTTATTAATGGAAGATTCTATGTTATCAGGATTTGTTCCCCTGCTCAGTGCCCCAATAGAAATATCATTTGTACATAAACTAGTTGACAAGGTATGTCCAGTGTAAAGAATACTTATTATACCCCATGCAACGAGTTGCGGAGGGTATAATGTTTTTGACCCGTCCGTCCGTCCGTCTGTCCGTCAGTCCGTCAGTCCTGTTTCTTGTCATTGCAACTCCTCTCAAACCACACAACAGAATTTCACGAAACCTTTTTAGATAATAAGGACATACTATATGGTTGTGCATATTAACAGGAAATTGCGATCCAATTTTTATACGACCGCAAAAAAATTTTGTGGTCGTATATTGGTATGACGTTGGCGTCGTTGTCGTCGTCGTCGTCGTCGTCCGGCGTCGTCGTCGTCGTCGTCCGGCGTCGTCGTCCGAATACATATTGGTTTTCGCACTCTAACTTTAGTTTAAGTGAATGGATCTTTTTGAAATTTGACCATAAGGTTAAATACCACAAAAGGAAGGTTGGGATTGATTTTGGGGGTTATGGTACCAACAGTTAAGGAATTAGGGGCCAAAAAGGGGCCAAAAATGAGCATTTTCTAGTTTCCAGACAATAACTGTGGAACGGTGTATGGATCTCTCTGAAATTATACTACAAGTTTCCATACCACAAAGGGATGGTTAGGATTTGCTTTGGGGGGTTATGGCTCAAACTGTTTAGGAATTAGGGGCAAAAAAGGGGGAAAAACAAGGTTGTCCTGGTTAATGGACAAATACTTTAGTACAAAACATAATTTGAAGCAGTGTAAGGGAGATAAATCAAATACATCATTGAAATTATCTCCCTTACACTGCTTTTAAATTATGTATAAAGTAATGGTTAATGAACAATAAAGATAATCTAAAACAGTGTAAGGGAGGTAATCCAAATACAACGTTTTGGTTACTTCCCTTACACTGCTTTTAAATTATGTTTAAAGAAATGCATATTTATAAAGGAAGACCAGTAAAAATATCTGCAAATGTTTTCATCTTTTTTTTTTACAAAAAAATCCATATGAAAGATTTGACACTATATTTTTATTAATTCTATTATAAAATAGATTAAGTTAGCACTATGGTAAATTTAAATGGGTAATTATGGTTGCCAACTCCATTGGAAATTTGAATTGAGATTATGACCATATCTTGAGGGAAAGAATTTTTTTGGGGGAAAAAGGGGGGGGGGGGATAAAAAGAAATTGTGGGGGCCAATTTTTTCTCATTTCAGATTTCAGAAATTAAAAAGAATTATTCTTCAAATATTATTTTTTTTTCAAATTTCAAATATTGAAAAATTTCAAGAAGTAATCTTTAATTGCACAGTATGGCGCATTAGATTTGTAAAATCTTTGATCACATTTATTTATTTGTTATGCCGAATCTAACAGTGTATTTAGATTTTTAATTTTGGGTCCAGTTTTCAAATTGGTCTACATTAATGTCCAAAGGGTCCAAAATTAAACTTTGTTTCATTTTAGCAAAAATTGAATATATGAGGTTCTTTGATATGCTGAATCTAAACATGTATTTAGATTTTTGATTTTTGGCCCAGTTTTCAAGTTGGTCCAAATTGGGGTCCAAAATTAAACTTTGTTTGATTTCAACAAAAATTGAATATATGGGGTTCTTTGATATGCTGAATCTAACCATGTATTTAGATTTTTTATTTGTGGACCCCGTTATCTAATTGGTTCATATTGAGGTCAAAAGGGTCCAAAATTAAACTTTGTTTGATTTCATCTAAAATTGAATTATTGGGGTTCTTTGATATTCCAAATCTAACCGTGTATTTAGGTTTTTAATTTTGGGTCCTGTTTTTTAAATTGGTCTACATTGAGGTCCAAAGGGTCCAAAACTAAACTTAGTTTGATTTTAACAAAAATTGAATTCTTGGGGTTCTTTGATTTGCTGAATCTAAACATGTGTTTAGATTTTTGATTATGGGCCCAGTTTTCAAGTTGGTCCAAGATAGGGTCCAGTATTTAAACTTTGTTTGATTTCAACAAAAATTGAATATATGGGGTTCTTTGATATGCTGAATCTAAACATGTATTTAGATTTTTGATTTTTGGCCCAGTTTTCAAGTTGGTCCAAATTGGGGTCCAAAATTAAACTTTGTTTGATTTCAACAAAAATTGAATATATGAGGTTCTTTGATATGCTGAATCTAACCATGTATTTAGATTTTTTATTTGTAGGCCATGCTATCAAATTGGTTCATATTGAGGTCAAAAGGGTCCAAAATTAAACTTTGTTTGATTTCATCGAAAATTGAATTATTGGGGTTCTTTGATATGCCAAATCTAACCGTGTTTTTAGATTTTTAATTTGGGTCCCGTTTTTTAAATTGGTCTTCATTGAGGTCCAAAGGGTCCAAAATTAAACTTAGTTTGATTTTAACAAAAATTGAATTCTTGGGGTTCTTTGATATGCTGAATCTAAACATGTGTTTAGATTTTTGATTATGGGCCCAGTTTTCAAGTTGGTCCAAGTTGGGGTCCAAAATTAAACTATTTTTGATTTCAACAAAAATTGAATATATGGGGTTCTTTGATATACTGAATCTAACCATGAATTTAGAATTTTTATTTGTGGGCCCTGCTATCAAATTGGTTCATATTGAGGTCAAAAGGGTCCAAAATTAAACTTTGTTTGATTTCATCAAAAATTTAATTATTAGGGTTCTTTGATATTCCAAATCTAACCGTGTATTTAGATTTTTAATTTTAAGTCCCGTTTTTTAAATTGGTCTACATTAAGGTCCAAAGGGTCCAAAATTAAACTTAGTTTGATTTTAGCAAAAATTGAATTCTTGGGGTTCTTTGATATGCTGAATCTAAACATGTGTTTAGATTTTTGATTATGGGCCCAGTTTTCAAGTTTGTCCAAGTTGGGGTCCAAAATTAAACTTTGTTTGATTTTAACAAAAATTGAATATATGGGGTTCTTTGATATGCTGAATCTAACCATGTATTTTGATTTTGGACATTGGACCATAATAGGTAAATTAAAAAAATTCAAGTTCTTATACCACATTCTTTCTGTGTCAGAAACCTATGCTGTGTCAAATATTTAATCACAATCCAAATTCAGAGCTGTATCAAGCTTGAATGTTGTGTCCATACTTGCCCCAACTGTTCAGGGTTCGACCTCTGCGGTCGTATCAAGCTGCGCCCCAGCGAAGCATTTTATTTTTTTAGGAGTTACGCCCCTTTGAACTTATTTACTTTAATGTATTACTGCAACAGTTTGTCATCGCAACTCCTCTGATACCACACAACAGAATTTCATGAAACCTTTTTAGATAATAATGACATACTATGTAGATGTGCATATCGACAGGAAATTACAGTTCAATTTTTTTTCTAGGAGTTACACCCCTTTGAGCTTATTTGCTTCAATGTACTACTGCAACAGTTTGTCATCGCAACTCCTCTGATACCACACAACAGAATTTCATGAAACCTTTTTAGATAATAAGGACATACTATGTAGATGTGCATATCGACAGGAAATTACGGTTCAATTTTTTTTCTAGGAGTTACGCCCCTTTGAACTTATTTGCTTCAATGTACTATGCAACAGTTTGTCATCGCAACTCCTCTTATACCACACAACAGAATTTCATGAAACCTTTTTAGATAATAAGAACATACTATGTAGATGTGCATATCGACAGGAAATTACGGTTCAATTTTTTTTCTAGGAGTTACACCCCTTTGAGCTTATTTGCTTCAATGTACTACTGCAACAGTTTGTCATCGCAACTCCTCTGATACCACACAACAGAATTTCATGAAACCTTTTTAGATAATAAGGACATACTATGTAGATGTGCATATCGACAGGAAATTACGGTTCAATTTTTTTTCTAGGAGTTACGCCCCTTTGAACTTATTTGCTTCAATGTACTATGCAACAGTTTGTCATCGCAACTCCTCTTATACCACACAACAGAATTTCATGAAACCTTTTTAGATAATAAGAACATACTATGTAGATGTGCATATCGACAGGAAATTACGGTTCAATTTTTTTTCTAGGAGTTACGCCCCTTAGAGCTTATTTGCTTCAATGTACTACTGCAACAGTTTGTCATCACAACTCCTCTGATACCACACAACAGAATTTCATGAAACCTTTTTAGATGATAAGGACATACTATGTAGATGTGCATATCGACAGGAAATTACGGTTCAATTTTTTTTCTAGGAGTTACGTCCCTTTGAACTTATTTGCTTCAATGTACTATGCAACAGTTTGTCATCGCAACTCCTCTTATACCACACAACAGAATTTCATGAAACCTTTTTAGATAATAAGGACATACTATGTAGATGTGCATATCGACAGAAAATTACGGTTCAATTTTTTTTCTAGGAGTTACGCCCCTTTGAACTTATTTGCTTCAATGTACTACTGCAACAGTTTGTCATCGCAACTCCTCTGATACCACACAACAGAATTTCATGAAACCTTTTTAGATAATAAGGACATACTATGTAGATGCGCATATTGACAGGAAATTATGATTCAATTTTTTTTTCTTATACAATTTTTTTTTCTTACACATATTTTATTTCTCCAAAGACAATGTGGGGACGTGGGGTATGTGAGCGCTCACTAAGGTTCTTTAATTTTTAATACTTTTGGTATCATGGAGAGGTATTTTGTAAAGGATGATACACATGAATGATACTGTCCATTTTTTGAAAGTCTTCGACGTTACCAATTTCTAAAATGTTTGACCAAATTTCAGTTTGAATATGTCTCGACAAACCGATTAAGTGGTAAAGTATTTTAGTTCATTACTTATATGAAAGGTTGTTAATGTGAAGCAAGCGCATTCTAAAAATAATTATTTGAACTATCCAAATCCTGTGTTTGACTGTCTGTGTAGTGAAATTGGCAAAATTAGTATGATATGTGTCGTTCAGACTCATGTTACTTGTAGGGCAATCAAAAAATACTCATAAAATTCAGTAATTTGAGAAATCTTTTGCTAAAATATATCAGTTAAATGAATCATAGATAAAAATCCTTGCCAACATTTCTTAATCCTCATTTTTATTTCTATTATATTTTAGGAAATAGCTCAGGACTGTTTAAGAATACAGAAGTTACAGTTATTTGGTGATTATCTGTGTGGTATAGAACCTCCAATGTTAGCCTATAATGTGGAGACTAAGCAGTACTATTCCATAGCTTTATCTGTGGAGGAAACTGAAGAACAAAAGAAACCTTCGTTATCAGCTGAGGAGTGGTCTGATGTAAGTGAATGAAAATAGGTGTTGGTGGTTACATCCATTAGACTGCAACTCATCATTACAACAGAATAAAAATAAAACGACATTAATAAATTGATGATCTTTCATCTTGTGTGTTTAAATAACTGTTTGTATTGTTTAAGAACATTAAAATGTGTTTAAGCTTGTTATAACAACATCTTGAGTTAAAAATAACAGTAGTAAAAAACCTCTACTGTTTGTCAACTCAAAATCGTCTGAGTCTTCGACAAGTTTTCAACAAATGCACAGATATATATTAAAAGTATCTAATTTTGTAAAGGAAAAATTTACAGGATAATGAACCATTAAAGGCCACATTGATCCTAAATTCAAAGGAATTATGGCTTGGTGGGCTGTCACCCTTCGATGAAATTGTAGCTACGAAACGCCCTCTGGTTTGAAAAACCATTGATAATCTATAAGTATATGATGATATAAGGTGATAACTGTATTTGTTTTTGACAGGATGGAGATGTGATAATAGAGAGTGAAGAGGAGATAATCCAGGGTGGTGAAGATGACCATGTCAAAGATCTTAAAGTGAAAAAACTGCAACTAAAACAGATTAAACAAGATCAAGAAAAACATAAAGAAAATATACAGGTAAAACTTAATCTTAAAGTTAAAAAACTTCAAGTGAAACAGATTAAACAAGAGCAAGAAAAACAAAAAGATAATATACAGGTAAAACTTGATCTTAAAGTTTAAAAACTTCACGTGAAACAGATTAAACAAGAGCAAGAAAACAAAAAGAAAATATACAGGTAAAACTTAACACAGAAACAGCTAAAATTTAAAGAGGAAAACATAGATAAAATGTATACATGGTATAGGTAAAACTTTCATTCTCTGTATTTTATTTCCATGTTGTCTTTTCCTGATGGCTAGAACAAATTGATGCTTAAGTTCAACAACTGGTGAAAGCCCTCAAGTTTAATTAAGTAGGTTCTAAGCTAGCTTTCTTATTAAAAATGATTTGGCTGAACCAAATTTTACTGACTTTATTATGTAAGAAAATATGTAACAGTGAAAAGTAATATCAAGATATCATGTTCTATTTTATTGCAGAAAATAATAGACAAGAATCGCCACCACTGTATAGAAGTAGAAATACATCCAATATTTCTGGTACCTGATACCAACTGTTTTATTGACCATCTTCCAGGACTGAAGAAGCTGATACTATCAAAGAAGTTCACCATTACTGTACCATTAGTTGGTAAGCAAATAGTAAAATTATATACAGTCGATTCATTTCTTTTCTTGGGTACCAGTTTTTCGTGGATTGAGGAAAACATATATTTTTGTGGATATTTGATTAAGTGGTTCCACCAATGCTTGCATACAAGCCTATAGAAAGTTTGTAATATGTTTAACATTTAAATTTGTGGGTCGCCTGTACCCACAAAACACACGAAAATTGGTATCCAACGAATAATAATGAATTCACAGTAATCAATGCTACACACCTTGAAAATTTTGAATTCTGAAATTTCATTGGCTGATGTAATAATTACCAGAACAGAAAGTAAAATGGAGTGTTGTCAGATCCTTGTAACCAATGCTTGGACATAGGATCTGTATTTTGATCAGATTAAAGGATTCTGTTCAACTTTGCATAAATTACAGTAAAAAACTAATTATATTACTTGAACATATTAGTTTAACTAATTGGCTTTTTTATAATTCAGAATGTTTCAGTGATTGAGTAGGAAATTGAAGAATTGAGGAAATTCTGTATGTAAGATTTGTTTTAATCAAATTTCAATAAAAAAAATAATTATACTTTCAAGTAATATATTTTTCAAATTTTTAGTGATAAATGAATTGGATGGCTTGGCCAAAGGCAGTAAAGATGGACAATACAGTACACAACAACATGCAAACAGAGTTAGAAAAACATCAGAGGACAGTGTGCAGTTTCTAGAGGCAGAATTTGAGAAGAAAAATTCTCACTTAAAAACTCAAACATCAAAAGGAAACATATTAGAAACTATAGCATTTAGGAGTGAGGAAAGTGAAAATGGAACAGTAAGTATATATGTCTCAGGTAGACAGTTTCTGGATATGAAATTGTTATAACTTTTTCCCAATCTGTATGGAATTGTTTTTTGATTTCCTGTTTACCAAATATTTAAAGAGGGGATATCATTGGTGAGCAGTAGGTTACAGTACATCTTGTTTGGTTACATGTTCAGAAATATGACAAAATAATTTTACAGCACACAAAGGAGTAGGTTCGATAAGGCCCTAAAATGGCACCCTATTTCTGGTTGAAATTTCAAATTATGATTTTTTTTACTAATATCTCAATGAATCATAGCCAATACAATGACTAGATAGGAAATATGTCTTTTTGTTGAAGATTGGCGTACTTGCCTTCTAGTCATGACATCACTCATTTTGATTTTTCCACAAATATTCAATGAAAACATGTAAATTTCCATTGATTTTTTGGACAGGAAAAATAGAGCGCACGTGTTGACAAAAAAGATCTTTTCATAAATGTTTTTATTAACATTTTACATATCTGGCTTGAATATTTAGTTTGTCAATGCCTGCGCTCCATGTCTCCCAGACCTTAATTTTGTTGAAATCTGGATAATTTTGTTAAAATTTGCAAAAAACTCTATTTTTTGCCTATTTGGATGTAAAATAAAACTTGGACAATAAAAGTTCTATTGAACTTTTTCACATGTCTTTTCATCAGCTTAGAACATTTTATTATCTTGGAACATTGAATTTAATAATCGGGCCAAATATGGCCCTTACAAAACTTACTCCTTTTATTGATTATTGAAGGATTATTGAAAATGGCCCTAGTGTAAAATAAATTCAGGGGAATTTATTCCTGCCTCTTTCTTTGAGCAAAGTGCATACTGTAGTTTAAAAAAGATTTATTCATCTATAAAATGTGTCTCATTGACCTCAAACTTGTTGAAACAGCCAACAATAGTTTGCTCCTACTTCTAAACTCAATCTAATGCAAATACCAGATTTAAACATTCTTTGTTTGACATAATCATGGATCAAGTCCTTGACCTCACACACCTTTGGTAAGCATATAACCACAAGATCATAGAGGTGGTTTATGAACACAAGTTGACTGGATGTTATTAAAGCCAAACACAAAAAAATATAATTAATATATGTTTTATTTGTGATGACTGCCGAAGGAAAAAAATGATCAGATCAGAGGTCAGAAGTCACTTTGGTCTTACACTCTCTTTCTAATGGAATTCTGATAAGAAATTGAGAATTTAATGCATCAGAAATTTTCTCTCAAGTTATGCACCCATACATTTTTTACTTAAAGTGATGTCTAACCTCCCTGTGTTTAGATTTCTTGAATAGCTCTAATAGTAAACTTAACTCTGTTCTTTTTTAGGGAAACAATGATGACATAATATTGTCATGCTGTTTACACTACTGTAAGGATAAAGCCAGGGAGTTTATGCCTAAAGAGAAAGGTCAGCACATACTTAATAGCATGTTTATAATGATTTAATTATTTTATATTACGAAAACCATTTTGCAGTGACCATCAGAATAATTCTTTTGGAAAAATTTGTCGCTTGGTCAAGTACAAGTAAAAGTTTACTTGCCCTTCAGGATTACAGTTTGCCTGAAAATCAGAGAAGTCACCATTATTGTATGTTCCGATTGTTTTGATTAAGTGAATTAAATGTATTGACCAATCAGAAAGCAGCATAGAGAAGCATTTTGGATTGCAGGAAACTATGCAAAAATCAAAATATTCAAAGTACTAAAACTTTTATGTCAGTAGTCTCTATAGAGTTTTACTTGCCCAATTGAATTTTATCTTTGTCTGACTAGCAGGCAAGCTGTTATTTCTGACATTGTACTGACTTTGAATATGAATTTTAATGTCAAAGGGTACAAAACCTAACTTACACATGTATGACTACTTAAAAATCTTAAATCAAGTTGACTAACTGGTTATTTTGTGTTGTTTACTTGCTGCCTCATTGATGTTTATCTCATTTTTTTTCCATTATTTAAATGTTTCTTTCAAGCAGAGAGTGTTTACATACTGTCTGTCTGTACATTACAGAAGTTTGTCATCTCACATCCTTCAAGAAAATAGTTCTATTTGCAGATATTGAGCTAACATTTGGTTTATAATTCTATAGTGAATAATTATATTTTTACATACTATATATTGGAAAATAATGTTTCATAAACAGTTGTCAGTCCTCATTGAAAATAATCAGTTGATATTTGGTATGTTATTTCTTGCATTTTGGGACCCAAACGGTTGCAGATAACATTATAATTTGTGTTACAAGTTTGTCATGTATCAATGGGGACTCCTGTTTTATCACTTTTCTTCTGATGTGGTTTCCAAAATAGTTTAAAACTTTAATTTGAGGTCTAATAAGGAATGAGAGTTGTGACATTTTTTTTATACCCCCGCTTTAAAAAAGTGGAGGTATACTGTTTTTATACCCCTGCTTTAAAAAAGTGGGGGTATACTGTTTTATTATACCCCCGCTTTAAAAAAGTGGGGTATACAGTTTTACCTCTGTCTGTCCATCCATCCGTCCGTCCCATGAATATTTTTTGTCGCATCTTTCATAAGGATTTCTGAAATTTGGTTTCAGGGTTTATATAAGTCAGCTATACTGTGTGATGCGTTTTCAGATTCATCACTCAACAACTTCCTGTTTACCGAACACTTGTGTCATATTGCACATGATAGCCAAGTTGAAAATTTTCGTCATATTTTTCTCAGGAACTACAATACAAGGATTTCTGAAATATGGTTTCAGGGTTTATATAAGTCAGCTATACCGTGTGATGCGTTTTCATATTCATCACTCAACAACTTCCTGTTTACCGAAACATTTGGGCTGGGGTATCATCAGTGAGCAGTAGCTCGCAGTTTCACTTGTTTTATTTATAAATCTTTGATTGAAATGATTTCTAAGATCAGAAAACAATTTGAACTGGCTTTGAACCAATGCATTAGAATGTATGATCACAAAATTTGTAAGGCTGAATATTTTTTATAACATGATATTTTTCTTTCATTATACAGAGTTTATATCCTTTATATCCTTTACAGATGGTCCTGTAAGACTGTATCGTGATGTAGTCCTATTAACAGATGACAGAAATCTAAGATTGAAGGCACACACTCATAATGTTCCTGTCAAAGATGTGCCATCTTTCCTCCATTGGAGCAAGGTCACCTGATCATGTAGTTATCCAATCACAATGGTGCTGGTCATTCTGCCCGGGATAACTGGATCACTGTATATCACTACATCACAAGTGTAGTGGTATGCAGGATAAATCACACCCAATGAAGAAAATAATTCCTCGCATTATTTAGTCTGGTGTTTCAAAAAAATAAATTGATTCCCTGCAAATTTGCTGAGTGAAGAAAATAGCTTAACCGTTTAGGATTATCTGTAACCGTTATTTATTGTTTCTCTACATGGCATATTAAGGGCTTTGTACAAAGTCTGCCATACCAATTGGAGTGTTTTCAACATGAAATATTCAACACAAGGAGTGGGAATATATGTAATGTTTTGATATATTTATTTGGTGTAGTTTTTGACCTTTTTGAACTGATATAGACAGTGAATTAGTGACATTTAATTGACTTATGAACTGTGAATATCACATGATTGTTTTATGTACGTCTTAACCAATCTAACACAAAGCTGTTTAAATGGATAGTAACCTGAAAAAGAATTGTTTAAACATTTGATGATGATGGTCGAAAAAGGAATCGCAGGATTAAAAGAATGGAAAGGAATTCACAAAAAAAAACAACCTTTTAATTGAAATAGATCACACCTGTATCTACAGTGGTAAAGGAAATTAGACTTAATTGATTGAAAAATTGATGAGTGATTATATGTTATGGAATCCCATGAACTTGGATGTCATAAGTCGGATAGTGCACAATTAACTTAAATTGAAAACTTAATATGGATGCTTATTAATATGGTTAATTAAACAGTGATTGAATCTTAACCTCAATTTATGAAGCTTTCAGGTTATTAATGCTTGAAGTAATACCTCAAGATTGCTTTTTCCATAGATAGCAGTTTTATTTCACTTGTAAATATAAAATGTTTTGCACATCAGATTGAAAAAATTGAATCATATTGTAAATAGTATATCAGTTTTTAATAATGTTTACATATCATTAATTATTGATTTGTTATATCTAATATATATATATACATGGAATAATTTTTTCTGATTTAGTAAATTAAAAATGTAAAATTTTCTTTTGAGATTTCACTGTGTGTGAATGTAAAGCATTGTTGGAATTTTTATTGCCGGTACAGCAACATAAAAAAAAATTTACACCATTGGTTTTATATTCATTGTTAAAGAAGTTTTTAACCAATCACAACATACTGGTGTACCATTTGAAAATATTACCCAGAATGCATTCGATTCTGAAATGGTGAATTCCAAACTATTTATTTTTACAATAATCTAAAAATCAACTGGTACAAAATTAAATACTGGTATTTTAGAGGTAATAAGTTCCTCAGTAATACCAATGATAAGCATTCATAGAGGCCAACAAAATATGTGTACAGTAATAAATGGTTGATAAAAATACTTCAATTCCAAATCAATTTTTTTTATATAATACCTCTGCTAACCTGCATAGTCCTTGCATCATGTTTTCCATTATTTTAGGCAGTTTTTTAGCACAATATTTATAATTTTGCAATGAAGCAAGTAGCTTCGAGTTGAAAGGTGTTATGCCTTTTCATGGCTTTGACTCACATAATTCCTGGTTAACGGTATATGCTGGATTTAATTAACTGTAGAGCCCTGTTTTTGTTCTCTCATTTGTCCAGAAATATAAATACATACGAGCTTTGGTTAATATTTCACTGTTTGTGGTTTGAAATTTACATGACAGATTTCTCAGTAATTATACATGATGATTTGTAATTTTGAGTGTAGAAATAGCAGTAAGTTATGGTATAATGCATCTACGTGTTTCTATATCATGTATGACTATTTGTAATATTGGAATCGTTCATCATATATTTTCAGTTTCTACAAGTCATATTACTTTGAAAAAGAAAGATGAAATTTGGCTTCATATTGTCATTAGAGAAACAGATTCCACCACTTTATATCATGCAATACAATATTCCTCCATTTTTGTCAGTTCAATTTTTATATTTAAAACACTTTACAAGCCTTGTATTTCAATTTGAAATTTGAACTGTGTAGAGTGAAAAAAAAATGTATTTTACTCGATGCAGCAGGCCCAGATTCAGAGGGGGCACACCCAGCATGTGCCCCCTATAAAAGAAAAATGATGTGATAAAGGTAAAATTCCAGCCAATGATCAATTATAATTAATATTAACTCCAAACAGTGATTGAAATTATTTACTAAACACTTGCATAAAAAAAAATTGCTGGCTTTTTTAGGATTCAAAAATCATGTCAAGATAAACTTCAAAAATGAATAAGGGATTTAAAATCTTTGATACTTATTTTTAGTTGCAGGAAGATAAATGTTACTAGTACCTAGTAGAACAGTTAAATAGATTTTAAAATAAAACAGTAATAGACTTTTTTTTCTCGCTATTTTGGAACCGGTGTCACTTGAACTTTTGATGTCATGCAACAATTTTTTTTTGTGGTGTTAGACATTTTCTCTTGTGACATCAAAATAGTACGGGAACTACTGTGATATCTAGTAATGGCGGACAAATAGCAATAAGGTGTATACTCAGATTTTATAATTAGGTAAATTCAGTATCATACAATTTCTTTGATATCAATTAAACCAGTTGGGTCTGTTTGAGGTTAATAATATTGAGTAGATCAGGGTCATCTGTAAGGGAAATGTTTGATAAATAATGTATTTACTTCAGAGAAAGAATATGGAAAGTTTAAGTGCTTAGATTAGGAGCAAGCTGTTATTACAAACACTTCATGTCCACACATAATGTTTTTTATGTTTATGTATTTCTTTAATCATGTTTGTGTAAATTTTATTTTTTTTATATGCTTTTGTTATTGCTTGTGTTTATGTGTAGTTTTAGTATAGTCATGATCAGTGTCCCTGTTGGGTTTAAGATTTCTTAGATCATTATACATTTAAGTCCAGATACATATTATTGGTCTTTTAACTTTTTACAATATTGGTTTTACCTGTGTGTGTGTATTTTTCATTTCTAATGATTTTTTGGGTCTAAATAAGATTAATACACCTATTATTAGTTTACATGCAGGATTTAAACATTTTCATCACCATTTCTTTTAGAAACAAGGTGCAAATTTAAAAGCAGTGAAACATGTTTTTCCCTTTAATATTTCAATTTAACCAAATTTAAGACATGCTGATTACAGTAACCAATGCAAATGATATGATTCCCATGTTTTAACAAGGGAAATTTGTATTGTTACATTTCCTGTAGCAAAATTCCACTTATATGCTTTTATCACAAAAGGCAGATGAAATTTAATGATGAAATACTCAGCTATCAAATTTCTTGATTCCACAGTTTTACATTCTTTCTATACCATGTAATCTAATAAAATACTTGGAAACAAAAACAAGCTTCACACTTGAGTTTGTCAATATTGGGCCTTATTTTGAGCATGTTGAGTATTACCAAATATTACAATGATATTTTCTAAGCACAAGGAGAAGTTAAGTTTTGGCTATGCAATTGGCCTTCTAAATTTGGAAAAAAAAAAGTTAAAAAAAAAATACCTCTTTTATTTTGTTTCATAAATTTAAAATCCTTGTATTTGCTTTTCAAGAAATGGTATTTTTACAGACTGATTATTTTGGACTATACTTTGGTGTCATGTTGTATGAGGGTCATGCCTGTGCTTTAATTTTTCTTGCCAATTATTCTCTATTTTTTATATGTTAGCACCCCATTATTCTCTATTTTTATTTGTATGGCTCATTATTCTGTAAACCTCTTTTATGATGTCCTTGTGAAATCATTAGAATTATAAAGAAAATAGCAGTGAGTAGCAACAATTGTGCTGAATCATTGACTAAGATAAAACCTTCTTCAGAAATATGGTTTGAGATAAATGCACAGATAAATTATTTTATTTGTCAATTTACAAATTTAAGGAGATCAGATGCTTTCAAAATATGATAATTTTTGACTAGATATGATTATATCCCTATCATTTTGAATTATACTTAAAGTAAATGGAATCATACATTGTTCTGGGTAATGTTATCATTGATTTTCTGTTATGGAAGTTTTATACATGCTAGTATTGTAGAAGTAATAAAATAAGAATAGTGAACTAAGTTGGTTATTTTTTTTATACCTAACAAAAACAAATGCATCATCCTTCTGTTTACAAAATAGGAAATCTTTTTCTGAAAGTTTTACACTATATCTGATGATAAATTATTTTTGGGTGCCTACTCTTCATTACACGATGTTTCCTTGTCAAAGCTTTCAGATTGAATTCATCCACGGTTTTAATAAAAGTAAACCTTTCAAATGTTAGCGCATATATGCTATTGTCTGAATTTACACATGTGAGAACTTTCAAACTGAAAAAAAAATGTGAACATCTGACAAATGACAACACAATTCAATAGTACTTTCAAGTCTTGTCACAATCTTCAGTTTGTATTAAATTTTAAGTGGTGGCCATCTTGGTTGGCAGGCAGGGTCCTGGGGCATAAGTATCAAAGAAAATCACCACAGGACTCTGCCAGAAGAGTATGGGTGTAATTGGCCCAAAAGTTGCTGAATTTTCAATCATTAATAACAGTGGTCAATTTTGAGTAAAATATCAATACTGAAATGGCAAAAACCCAACTTGCATTTGAAATTTAATGATGGTCACAACCCTATGTTTGTATCATTTCTATTTTTGGTAACAGTGGCAATCTGGGTTGGTTGTTAGGGACATAATCCTGTAAAGAATATAAAAATAAGAGGATTTGGTATGATTGCCAATGAGACAACTCTCAACCAGAGACTAAATGATGTAGAAGATAACAACTTAGGTCACAGTACAGCCTTCAACAATGAGAAAACCCCATACTGCATAGTAAGCTATGAAAGGGTCCCAAATGTAAAACAATTTAAACGAGAAAACTAACGGCCTGAAGTTCATTTGGTCTTGTGGTTTCGGACAAAAAGATTTTTGAAATTTCATCCAATCAGAACACATTATTGGGCTTGGCAGCCATGTTGAATAATAGATGGGAACCAAAATTACAAATTCTATAAAGAACCTTCCAAGGAACAGTGCTGCCAAGTTTGGTTCTATTTAGTTTAGATGTTTCAGAAAAGAAATGTAAAAAGTAAATGGATGGACGGACACAAAGTGATTGCAATAACTTACCAAGCTTTAGAGCCAGGTAAGCTAAAAAAAAAGTGCTGCAACTCTCTACCTTCCAATACTTTATTGTGAACGGTATAAAACCCTGTATGTGAAATTTCCCATTAAGAAAAACTAATATGCACAGAGCACACTTCGTATTGGATTTCCTGTGCTCAAGGTTTTGTGTGGTGGGCATACATGTAGCTCCTCTTATATACAATAATTACCCTACATCATGTACACAATAGTGGGTCTCATTGGGGTTTAAGCGTGACACGGGATTGGCCGATTTTTTTTAAGCATGACATGTGAAAGTCAAATAATTTAGCGTGAAATTACAAGCGCTATTATGGCCAACGAGAAGCGGGATACGGGATTCTGACAAAACAATAAGCGGGATCCGGGATCAGACCCCCCCAATGAGACCCCAACAATACTCATTCAGACACAAACCCATTTGACATAACTAAAATGTATTACAAGCTTTTTTTCCATACAATTACTTTTGTTCTACTGTGAACAAAAATTTAAAAGGACAAGCTAAAGTTACAATTTTTTTTCAAATTTTTAATAATGTATTTTAAATTTGTGAGAATGTAAATGAGAATGCTTTGTAACCAAAGTTTGTAAATATGTCCAACTTAGAACTGTTCCCTGTTGCACTCAGCACCTACAAAGAATTTAAAAAACTCAACATATTAATAAGTACAATTCAAGGTTACAATAATTGAAAGTAAAATCACTATCACCACTTATTCAGTAAATTTATGACACTGGTAATGGGAAATAACTGTCTATTCAATTTAAAGAATTCCACATTTTGAATATTACAACCTCATTGCAAACATAAATTACTGTATTAATGACAACCTTTACGATTATTCCATAAATGTTACTAATTTCGTGGTGAGATTACGGTGTTAAGGTCAACAGTATAATTGTTATGGATTTCCGTTTCTTATTGGTCCAGAACAGTTCCCTGTTTGTATATCATTTTAATACTTAATTTTGGTTATCACTGGGTAATGATAAGCACTTGATTGATTAGGATTATTAAATTATTTCAGGTTTCTCAGTACTACCTACAGTAGGAAACGATTGATCCATTTCTTGTTAGAATCAGAATAATTAATGAACGTAGCAAGTTCTTGTTTTCAATTTGACCATGTCTGATGGAAGGATTGAAGTTTTTGCAGTGCAGGAAAGGAAATTCAGACAATGAAATCAACACTGGAACATAGAATCAGAATAATTAATGAACGTAGCAAGTTCTTGTTTTCAATTTGACCATGTCTGATGGAACAATTGAAGTTTTTGCAGTGCAGAAAAGGAAATTCAGACAATGAAATCAACACTGGAACATAGAATCAGAATAATTAATGAACATATCAAGTTCTTGTTTTCAATTTGACCATGTCTGATGGAACAATTGAAGTTTTTGAAGTGCAGAAAAGGAAATTCAGACAATGAAATCAACACTGGAACATAGAATCAGAATAATTAATGAACATATCAAGTTCTTGTTTTCAATTTGACCATGTCTGATGGAACAATTGAAGTTTTTGAAGTGCAGAAATGGAAATTCAGACAATGAAATCAACACTGGAACATAGAATCAGAATAATTAATGAACGTAGCAAGTTCTTGTTTTCAATTTGACCATGTCTGAAGGAACAATTGAAGTTTTTGCAGTGCAGAAAAGGAAATTCAGACAATAAAATCAACACTGGAACATAGAATCAGAATACTTAATGATTGTAGCAAGTTCTTGTTTTCAATTTGACCATGTCTGAAGGAACAATTGAAGTTTTTGCAGTGCAGAAAAGGAAATTCAGACAATAAAATCAACACTGGAACATAGAATCAGAATAAGTAATGAACGTAGCAAGTTCTTGTTTTCAATTTGACCATGTCTGATGGAACAATTGAAGTTTTTGAAGTGCAGAAAAGGAAATTCAGACAATGAAATCAACACTGGAACATAGAATCAGAATAATTAATGAACGTAGCAAGTTCTTGTTTTCAATTTGACCATGTCTGATGGAACAATTGAAGTTTTTGCAGAATCAGAATAATTAATGAACGTAGCAAGTTCTTGTTTTCAATTTGACCATGTCTGATGGAACAATTGAAGTTTTTGCAGTGCAGAAAAAGAAATTCAGACAATGAAATCAACGCTGGAACATAGAATCAGAATAATTAATGAACGTAGCAAGTTCTTGTTTTCAATTTGACCATGTCTGAAGGAACAATTGAATTTTTTGCAGTGCAGAAAAGGAAATTCAGACAATAAAATCAACACTGGAACATAGAATCAGAATAATTAATGAACGTAGCAAGTTCTTGTTTTCAATTTGACCATGTCTGATGGAACAATTGAAGTTTTTGCAGAATCAGAATAATTAATGAACGTAGCAAGTTCTTGTTTTCAATTTGACCATGTCTGATGGAACAATTGAAGTTTTTGCAGTGCAGAAAAGGAAATTCAGACAATGAAATCAACACTGGAACATAGAATCAGAATAATTAATGAACGTAGCAAGTTCTTGTTTTCAATTTGACCATGTCTGAAGGAACAATTGAAGTTTTTGCAGTGCAGAAAAGGAAATTCAGACAATAAAATCAACACTGGAACATAGAATCAGAATAAGTAATGAACGTAGCAAGTTCTTGTTTTCAATTTGACCATGTCTGATGGAACAATTGAAGTTTTTGCAGTGCAGAAAAGGAAATTCAGACAATAAAATCAACACTGGAACATAGAATCAGAATAATTAATGAACGTAGCAAGTTCTTGTTTTCAATTTGACCATGTCTGATGGAACAATTGAAGTTTTTGAAGTGCAGAAAAGGAAATTCAGACAATGAAATCAACACTGGAACATAGAATCAGAATAATTAATGAACGTAGCAAGTTCTTGTTTTCAATTTGACCATGTCTGATGGAACAATTGAAGTTTTTGCAGTGCAGAAAAGGAAATTCAGACAATAAAATCAACACTGGAACATTTTGACCTTTGCAAATTTTGTAATAAAGACTGTTCCATCACCACAATAGTCAGTGTTCCTCACTCAGCAACTTTCAGTGTTCCTCACTCAGCAACTTTCAGTGTTCCACACTCAGCAACTTTCAGTGTTCCACACTCAGCAACTTTCAGTGTTCCTAACTCGGCAACTTTCAGTGTTCCTCACTCGGCAACTTTCAGTGTTCCTCACTCGGCAACTTTCAGTGTTCCTCACTCAGCAACTTTCAGTGTTCCTCACTCAGCAACTTTGCATCATAGTTGTCATAAATAAAGGAAATCATTTACTCATCAATGTGTGCGTAGCCATTAGTATGATTATGGTAAAAAAGTAAGATTATTGAAAAAATCACAAATTAACGAAATCTCAATACTTGATTACTAATTGCACTAAAAGGAGGTTGACTTTTATGTATTAAGCAATAATGTTAAAGTACTGCTTCTGGATAAAATTATACCAAGAAGCAGGAGTACAAGCAATCATTATATCTACCAATCAGATAGATAACTGGAAGTGACCTTCTCATGACATCTTGTAACTGTATATTCTGTGTTTTAAACTCACATGTCCTGAATGCCCTTCGAGAAGAGCTTTGTAAACTGATCCTGATAATTATTTCATTTGATGTAGGGTTGACAAACTGAAGACAGAACTTCCATCCTGTTTTCCTTTAACCAAAATAGGCAAACAAGGAGACTATAAAGGGAAGTTTGGTCCTGTTTTTTTCTTTAACCAACCCTATTATTTACCTGAGAACCTTACTGTTACCTGATGTAGAGGTGACTAGACTAAACACAGATAATTTACAAGGAAATTCGGTCCTCTGTTCTACACAAAGGGATGCTGACATGTAACTTTTAGTAATTAAATAAGAACTCAAGATAAAGATGAGGGTGTACAAGGTGTGCATCCTTGACTCTCCATTAACAATCCCTGAT